CCTACTGTGGCGAGTCGGCTGCCTCCCCCCTAATTATCATCATCACCCCGTCCCTTAATCGCCGCCCTTCGCCAGGCTCCCGACAGGATGGGTGTGCGAGATAGGAGGGGCACAGAATCATCCAGGTCTGGTGGCGTGTGATGAGGCACACCTGAAACGAATGGAGCCTCAGCCCCGCCGCTGTTAAAATGCCGAGCGCGCCTCTCCTCGAGAGACCGGTCTCTTCCCCGTGCATGCACGCTGGTGTCCTCATGGGTCCAGGAAGGGAGCGTTGAGGGATCGAGCGCCGCTGAAGTGACGGGCTGCCGGACCCGTGGTCCGGACGAAATACCGCACCCGTGAAACGGCTGTCGGGCCAGGATGCCGGGCTGTTTAATCTCCTGGAAGTGCCGTGGGCCAAGGAGGACGAAGCCACTAGATGAAGCCGCCGCCCCTCGTGCCCCGGACCCGAGAGGGGAGCGCGTGCGGCCGCCGGACTCCGCCCCTTACCTGGACCCTTCCTTCCCGAACACTGCCCCACCTTCACGAACCCTTCAGCACGACGAGGACACCAGATCCCCTGTTTATTTTGAACACTCTTTCCCTTTGGACACTTTTATTCCCTGTTTTGGATATTTTTGTTATTTTCTGTTAATAAAAGCCTCTCCAAGGCCTGACGCCACACCCACTGTGTCTGTCGTTTGTTTCTCCCACCACACTACATCCACAGTTTCAGTGGCTTGTTCCAGTCTCTCTAACTCTGTTAGTTATTACTGTGTTTCAGTTTTTGGGCACTGTTTGCATGCGGTGCATTACTTATTTTGTTTTTTCCTTTACCCTTCCATGCAAGCACCCACTGACAACTGATTAAAGGTCTTAAAGCTCCTCTAAGATGTTTTTAGTTGTTTGTTCTTTCTTTAAAGGGGTGGTTGATTGCGATTTCACTTTTTTAACGTTAGTTAGTGTGTAATGTTGCTGTTTGAGCATAAACAATATCTGCAAAGTTACTAAGCTGTTTACAATACAACCGGAGCACATGCCGCTGAGGTGAGGGCGGGACGTTTAGATGCGCACTAGAGGCGGTTTAGCCAATTGCCTATTTCTGAGGGCGGGGCTTCATAAAAGCAGGAAATGATCAGCGTGTTTCTCAGAGAAGAGACAGAGCGGTGTGGAATAAAGGTAAATTGTGTGAAAAATAATGTTTTTTTTTAAACAAAGCATTAACACACATGTTAGACTGCACCCCATAAACACAATCAAGCCTAGAAAAAAACAATGCAGTGCACTCCACAATGCTTGACGATCCACAGAGTCAAACACTGCCTTAAGATTGACATAGGCTACAATGAGTGGACAATTAAAACCGTATATTCGTAAGCAGTAGCATTTACAAATAACAGCATATCTAAAAGTATGAGACAACAACAAACAAAACAAACAAAATTAAGAGCCGTGCTTGCACAGGTTCTGTCCTCTTCACTAATATTCTCTGGGTCTCAATCGGGCTCAAATTGATAAGCAATATAGACGATGCCATTGTTTACAATACAACCATAGCGCATGCCGCTGAGGTGAGGGGCGGGACGATTAGACGCGCATTAGAGGCGGTTTAGCCAATCACAACACACTGGGCTAGCTAACCAATCTGAGCCCATTGTGTATTTCTGAGGGAGGGGCTTCATAAAAGCAGGAAATGATCAGCGCGT